GTTCAAAAGAAGAAATGAGTGAAGTCTTTTGTCTTTGTGTGTGTTTGTCTAGTTCAGAGCAAAAGAAAAGCCGAGAGATGTATGTTGGGAGTAAAAGTGGAGCTTGTGTGTTAGTTTTGCCAAAATGATGATTTTCTTACCAAATGAAAAGAAAGGTACATGGGATAGAAATGATGGTTTTTCCCAAATAAAAAGAAAGATGCATGGAGATTTTGAGTGCAAAAATGGATCAATAGTGTATTTGATGAAAGACAAATAAGAGAGAACTGCACAAGTAGTCCCTCACATATTGCAAATGTGAAAATTTAGTCCCTCAGATCGAAAATAATCAATTTTAGTCCTTAGCAAATAAAAAATGATCAATTTAAGTCCCTTTTCACTTTTCTGACTGATTTTTACTCGGAATATCTCACTCGCACACCACGTGGCCAACTTTTCAAGGGTAAAAATGCCAAACCACTTATCTGTCGACCAAAACCAAAATGTAAAGGACGAATACTTCCCAAAAAAACCTCCATTTTGGTACTAACTCACCGTTCCATCTCCGTTCCTCTCAACCCAAAAAGAAATTTAATTATCACTACCCAGTAGTGGACTGATTTTGATGAAAAGGAGCGTTGGTGATTGAAGCGAAGAAGAAACAAGCATACCAGAATAATGGACGAAGAAAACATTCAATGGATCCCAAATTACTGTATGTATTTCTAAACCCTAAGTTGTAAAATTTATGGAATGATGTTAGATACTATGTGAATAGTTTAAATACAGTTGCAATAAGCATGATTTGTGCAGTTAAGAAGTATTATTATATTGATTAGGGTTGCTGGTGGTCAATTTTATGTATTAAATTGTTGTAAGTACATGTGGTCCCTTGTATTGTATTGTGTTGTCGCTTTACATAGATGGGCGGTCGGTCCCAAAACAATTTTTTTGTTGTTAACTATCTCTTAAATGGTTGGCAGATGGTATGAATCGATTTTCCATTAGGGTCCACTATGGAGGTGAATTCACTGAGTTGCCGAACAAAGAATACCGTGGGGGTAGTGTAAAAATTGTTGACTATTGCAATCCTGACAGATGGTCTATATGTACACTTGATAGGGTTGCAGAAAAACTAGGTTATCCTGAGTTTAGTGTAATATACTATTATTTAATACACGGGAAGAATATGGAAGATGGGTTAGTGTATGTGTTATGTGAAGATGTTGCTCAAGATTTGGCTAGAAACGGACTGAAATATGGTTTGGTTGATGAATACTTTGTGCACTTAAGAACCTACTCCATAAGTGAATGTGAAGCTGGACCATATAAACCAAAAGAGAGGACTGATCCTAAGAAAAATCAACAGGGTGGTAAGGTGCATGAAGAATCTTCTGATGTAGAAAAAATAGTGATTGTTGACCTTGGTCGATCAATCCTTGGTTTTGATGTTTAACAAACCAAAATGTAGATTTGGTCTAATGTTTTTATGTGAGAAATTTGTTAAAATCAGGTTCAATGGTGTCAAGGAAAGAAAACCAACCAAATGAAGAAGCAAAATCAGGTCACTCATGTCGGAAGGCCAAAAGGACGCTATCGGACGTCCGAAAGGATGAAGAACATCAAGAAGAAAACTCTGTCGGACGCTCATTGATCGCATCGGACGTCCGAGAAATTTCGCAACGATTTGATAAGTCTCTGCCTACGTTCGGACGCAGGGTTCGGACGTCCGACAGGCACCTGTCGGACGTCCGACAGGCCAACGGCTAGTTTTGACAGCATTTAATATTTGACCGTTGGAGAGTCTTTTGGAGCCATTTCTCACCTTCTATAAAAACCCCAAAGCACAAGAAGACTAGAGACTTTTGCCAACACAAAATACAAGCTTACAAGTGAGATTTTTGAGTAGAAAGATTCTTTGTTGGTTGTATAAGGGGTTGGGAAAGTTGGGTTGTGAGGTTGCTCAAGTGAAGGTTATTCTCTAGGAGGAGTAAAACTTTGGTGAAGGTTGCCTCATTTGTATAAAATAGTTCTTAATTGGGTGAGTGATCTTTCAAGTGTAGGTTGTTGAGGGTTAACTAGAATTGTTGTAAAACTCCTTGGCTCAACCAAAGAGTATTTGGGGTGAGGAAGGAGTGAACCCTCACTTGTACATCTTGGTTAGCATCGCCATCAATTGAAGAGACTATTGGATTGATATTTGGTTTGCATTTCTTATCTTTTCTCTTTAATTAAGTTTTCTTTATTGTGCTTAAATTTGATATATCTTTGTGCATCATTGTGAAATTGTTTGTACTCATTGGGTTGCATCGGGCACTTACAATTGGTATCAGAGCTTGGTTTCTTTTGATCAAGCTTAACCGCTTAGAGTAAAGATCATGGCAACCATAAAAGTTTCTTTTTTAGAAGGGCAATCTATTGATAGACCACCTATGTTTAATGGTTCTCATTTTAGCATGTGGAAACAAAGAATGATGATTTTCTTACAATCTGTTTACATTGAATTATGGTATGTGGTAGAAGATGGTCCTTATGAAGCTAGAATAGTTGACTCTATCACCAATTTGAGTAGATTAAAAACTAGACAAGAATTGAATGAAAAAGACAAGAGATACCTTTCTTTGAATGCCAAGGCCATGTGTATATTGTACAATGCATTAGATGTAAATGAATCTGGTAGGATTAAAGGTTGTAAATCAGCTAAAGATATTTGGGATAAATTGTGTGTATTTCATGAAGGTAACCAAGATATTAAAGAACAAAAGAAATCTTTGCTTGTTTCTCAATATGAATTTTTCAAAATGCATTCTCTTGAAAATGTTGATAAGATGTGTAGTAAATTTTGTGACATTATTGAAGATCTTAAATTGCTTGGAAAAGAATATTCTTTGGGTGAGAAAAATAGAAAGATTTTCAATGCCTTGCCAAAAGAATGGGAAAACAAAATAAATGCTATAGAAGAGGCAAAGGATTTAAATTCTATGTCCATTGAATCTCTTGTGGATACCCTAACCTCTTATGAATTAAAGCTGGAATTCAAAGTGCAAGAGGAAGAAAATGAAAGAATGTATAAGAGAGGCATAGCTTTTAAAGCATCTCAAGTGGGGGATAACCCATCCTTCATGGGTAATGAAATCATGGAAGTGGACAATGATATAACTTCTCACATCAAAAGTTTCAAGAAGATCTTCAACAAGAGATGCTCAAGAGGAGATTGCAAAATTACATGGGATGAATGCAATTCAAAAAGAGAAAAAGAAGAGTTGGCCCAAATGGCACTAATGGCCGTTGGAGAAGATGAGGTAAGTTCTTATCACTCTTCTTGTGATGAAGATAATGAAGATGATGATGTGAAAATTCTTATGATTAAAATGCATAAAAGTTTAAGAAAATCTTATGCTAAAAATAAAGATTTGAAAACAAAAATAAATGATTTGTTGGAAGAAAACTCCAAACTTTTTCAAGAAAACAAATGTTTGAGAATGGAAAATGATGATTTAAAAAATCAAAAAAGTGTTTTTGATTGCAAAAATAATTTGAAAAGGAAGTTGGAAGAGAAAACAAAGTTTTATGAAAAAATGTTGGAGGAACAAAATTTGTTAAAGAAAAGAATTAATGACTTGAACGAGATTCTCCAAAATGAAAAACAAAAGTTTTCTCAAACAAAAGAAAGCAAATCTTTTCAAGGCACAAATAAGTTTGCTAAGAAAATCAGTTGCATTAAATCCACTTATGTGCAAAATACTTCTATCATGTGTCACTTTTGTTGCCAATTTGGACATATGCAAAATGATTGCTATGTAAAGAAAAATATGAGAAAAGGTATGAAATCCATGTGGATTGCTAGATCATGTTGTAATAACTCCCAAGGACCCTATTATGGTCTTGACTTGAAAAATAAAGGGGGAGTTTGCTTTTTGATTGATGCCAAAAGGGGGAGTAGGATTTATTGAAATTTCTTTGCATGTTGGCACTTTCTAAGGGGCAGCTTTATTTGAACTTATTTGATAAAAGAAATCTTCATTTTGTTTGTCATCATCAAAAAGGGGGAGATTGTTGACCTTGGTCGATCAATCCTTGGTTTTGATGTTTAACAAACCAAAATGTAGATTTGGTCTAATGTTTTTATGTGAGAAATTTGTTAGAATCAGGTTCAATGGTGTCAAGGAAAGAAAACCAACCAAATGAAGAAGCAAAATCAGGTCACTCATGTCGGAAGGCCAAAAGGATGCTATCGGACGTCCGAAAGGATGAAGAACATCAAGAAGAAAACTCTGTCGGACGCTCATTGATCGCATCGGACGTCCGAGAAATGTCGCAAAGATTTGATGACTCTCTGCCTACGTTCGGACGCAGGGTTCGGACGTCCGACAGGTGGTTCGGACGTCCGACAGGCACCTGTCGGACGTCCGACAGGCCAACGGCTAGTTTTGACAGCATTTAATATTTGACCGTTGGAGAGTCTTTTGGAGCCATTTCTCACCTTCTATAAAAACCCCAAAGCACAAGAAGACTAGAGACTTTTGCCAACACAAAATACAAGCTTACAAGTGAGATTTTTGAGTAGAAAGATTCTTTGTTGGTTGTATAAGGGGTTGGGAAAGTTGGGTTGTGAGGTTGCTCAAGTGAAGGTTATTCTCTAGGAGGAGTAAAACCTTGGTGAAGGTGAACCTATCACTTGGAGTGGTAAAACTTTGGTGAAGGTTGCCTCATTTGTATAAAATAGTTCTTAATTGGGTAAGTGATCTTTCAAGTGTAGGTTGTTGAGGGTTAACTAGAATTGTTGTAAAACTCCTTGGCTCAACCAAAGAGTATTTGGGGTGAGGAAGGAGTGAACCCTCACTTGTACATCTTGGTTAGCATCGCCATCAATTGAAGAGACTATTGGATTGATATTTGGTTTGCATTTCTTATCTTTTCTCTTTAATTAAGTTTTCTTTATTGTGCTTAAATTTGATATATCTTTGTGCATCATTGTGAAATTGTTTGTACTCATTGGGTTGCACCGGGCACTTACAGTGATGACTAATATTCCTGTAACTCAATCTGAAAATGAGAGTGAAAAGGATAGCATAGGTGCTGGTGAGTCAGGGGCTAATAAACACATAGATGAAGCAACTATAAGAAAGGAGAATTTAGGTGAAATGCTTTCAGAAGTTGACATTAGAGTTGCTGATAAAGGAGATAATGCAGCAGATATAGGAGGGTCTAATCAGAATTTTAGAAAAAAAACAAGATAGGACAAACTCAGAAGTACAGAATGCAGAAAAAAATGCACCTTCTACTAGAAAATCACCAAAAGAGAAATCATTAAAGAAAAAATCCTTAACAAATAAAGAGCAGGCTAAAAAAGTTGAGAGAAAGAAGAAGAGTAAGAAGGAGACACATATTGAGGAAGATGAGAAACTTGGTGATGGTGACAAATTCATTGATAGTGACTATGAGTTTAGTGATGAAAAGGACATAGTAAAATCTGTTAAAGACAGAAAAGCTGAATGGGAGAAAATTGTCAAAAATTGTGAATCAAAAAAGAGTACAAAGGAGAGAACATGTCAAGTGGAGGGTGCTGAGATGGAAGAAGATGCTATTGACTCAGATGAATTTGATAGTTGGTGTGACTTAGAAGAAGAAGATCAGCCAAGAAAAAGAACTATGTTTCCAAAATTTAACCCTGAAACTGATATGGTCGATCCCAAATTTGAGGTTAGGTAGATTTTTACTTGTAAGCAGTTGTCCATAAAGGCATGCAAGAGCATGGAGTGGTTCACGGAAAGAAGATAAAGTTCAGTAAAAATGATGGCAGAAGAGCTACAACTTATTGCAAGAACTGTAGCTGGAAAGTTTCTACAGCTGTTATGCTAGACAAAAAGACTTTTCAAATCAGGAGCATGCAAGATGAACACAATTGTGGGAGGACATTTGACCACAGACTAGCAAACTCAACTTTTCTGGTTGATAGATACAAAAAGGAGTTGGCTGCTATGGCTGACATGAAGGTGAGTACACTCACAGATAAAATGAAGACTGATGTTAATGTCAACATTTCTAGGTGGCAAGCTTATAGAACCAAGAAAAAGGCAGCGAGTTTAGTTAATGGTGAACACGAAACCCAATACAACAAACTAAGAAACTATTGTAAGGAAGTAAAGAGGGATAATCCTGGCTCAAATGTTTTCATGACCACTGTTGAAAATGATGAGGGAGAAGATAGGTTTGAGAGGTTGTATATTTGTCTCAATGCATGCAAGACAGGCTTTTTAAGTGGTTGTAGGCCTGTTGTCAGGTTAGATGGCTGCCACCTTAGAGGGCCCCACAAAGATGTGTTGCTTACAGCTGTAGGAATTGACCCCAATGATCAGTTGTACCCCATTGCCGATGCTGTGGTGGAAATAGAAAATAAGCTGACTTGGAAATGGTTCGTGGGTGAATTGCTGAATGACCTCCAAATTAGAGATGAAAATTATTGGACAATTATTATTGATAAACAAAAGATATGTTAGTGTATTTTTCTGGGATTTTTTTTAGCTGAGTTTGCTAGTTTTAATTTGATGATTTGTTTTCACCTTTTTATTTGTTGAAGGGACTGATTCAAACTATTCAAGAGTTGCTTCCAGATGTGGAGCATAGGATGTGTGTGAGACACATGTACAATAACTTTAAAAAGCTGCATGGTGGTTTGACATTAAAGGAAAGAATTTGGGCACTTGTAAAAGTTCCTTACAAAAGTTTGTTCAAGGCTTTGATGGAAGCTTTGAAAGCAGTTGATGAGGGTGCATTTCAATGATTGCTTGACAACACAACACCGCAGCAATGGTCCAAAGCTTACTTTAGAACCTCCCCTAAATGTCACATTTTATTGAACAATCTTTGTGAGAGTTTCAACTCCAGCATTTTAGAAGTAAGGGAGAGGCCTATACTAGGTATGTTGGAAACAATATGACTTTATTAATGGTTAGAATGGAGAATAAGAGGGAGTGAATGAAGAAGTATACAGGAAAGGTATGTCCCAAAATTTTAAAAAAGTTGGAAAAGGTAAAAACTGCTTCTAGTGCATGTATAGCTACACCTTCAGGGGACTAAAATTATGAGGTGAGATGTATGTATGGGGATAGGTACACTGTGAATTTGGCTAGCAAAACTTGTAGTTGTAGAAGGTGGAAACTAAATAGCATTCCTTGTGCTCATGCAATGAGTGCCATTGCTTTGACAAAGAAGCCTCTCGAGAACTTTGTTCATGAATGCTACTCAAAAGAGGCCTATATGAGGGCATATAGGCCTATAATATATTCTCTCAATGGTGAGCATTTGTGGAAGGATTTGAAACAAGGGCCTGTCTTGCCACCTAAAACCATCAAGCTTCCTGGCCGGCCAAAGAAGGTAAGAAGGAGAGAACCAGATGAGCCACCGGCTGTAACAACTTCTCGAGGACAAACAAAGAGACTATCTAGAGTTTGTCTAATGGATTATAAGTAAAGAAAGTGTAAATAGAAGGGCCACAATAGTAGGAAGTGTCCAAGCAGTCATGATCAAGGGAATGTCCAGCAACAAGCTACTGCGGTTACAAGTAGCTCTCAACCACAACAGTAGACTCCTAACACTGTGAATTCTAGTGCAAACAAGCAGTCCCAATCTCAGCAGTCCCAACCTCAGCAGTCCCAAGCTCAGCATTCCTAAATAGATTACCTGCCTCAAAATGCTACTCCTATTGCAAACAAGCAGTCCAATTTCATACCTGAAGCATTTTTGGTGCAAGTGGCTTAGAGACTGATACAAGTGACCAAGTCTTATTTGATCTTATCAGTCAAATCCCAGATCAACCTACAACAAGCCAACCACCTACTCCAACATCGACAACAAAGAATGCAACATCTCCAGTTCATGTTTCTCTATTTGTTCATACTAATAATAGCATGTTGACTTCTTTCTATACTATTATTTACTTGAATTTCTGGTTGCCAATTGTCAGGGTAAGAAAATCAAGTACAGATGTGGTGTATGTCGGAGATTTGAACATACTCGAAGTAGTTGTGATTCAACATTGGCGTCTCTCTATAGGAGACACCCATGGAAACCACCTGGATTGGTTGTAAGTATTGTCTACTGCATGCATAATCTAAAGAAGACTGCAAAGATATCTACTTCTAAGACTGCAAAAATTGATCTTGACTGTAAGTAATGACCTCCTCATTGTTTTGTTTGTATCAGAGGCCTAAGAAGACTGCAAAGATATCTACTTCTAAAAGTGCTGCAAAGAGGGCTAAAAAGACCTAGATGACTACGGCATGTTATTGCAAGGAGGGGTGACTGCAAAGATATCTACTTCTGAAAGTGCTGCAAATGGATTATTTTTCATTTTTTTGTCTTGTATTTGACTTCAGCAGACCTTTTTTTGAAGCAATGAAATTGACTTCTTAGTTCATTGCATTTTTTTTTATAAGAGGCGTATTGTAATGAATGTACTTGGCTCGGTTATGTGCCATTTTTTCATTGCAATGGAATGCATACTCTTCTTATTTTTGAAGGGACTGATTATTGGTTCACTTTTTACTCTTTTTTCGCTTATAATATCGCCATTATCATCTTCATTATCTGTCAAGTTAGACTTTTATTCCATTTTATGTTGTAAGCTCATATTCAAGAAAAAATGACAATATACCAAAGAGAACTTAAGCTTCATAATTGCATTCTAACTCCCATTTGTACAATCAACAGGGCCACTAAACATAATCCAACCTAAATACAGCAAATAAAAGCTACCCAGTTCCCAGTTCACCACCTGCACCAACAAATGCCAGTTACAACTCATCTTTGCTCAACAAATTCTGCACTACAAAAACAAAGGCCACAAACACAACAATTTCATCATTTTCTCCTTGCGTCTTGTTTCTTCCAACTTTGCCTCCAACTCTCTTAATCTCTTCGTCAATCTTCTTGTGTGTCTCATTAATTTATCGCACCTCTCACAACTATTTGTATCATACCACTTGAAATAGCCACAACCGCCGCCACATTATGCTGTTCAAAATTACCTCTTCAAATTTCACATTTTCTAAAAGAAAAAAGAAACAGAAATCAGGCACACTTACTTCGTAGTAAGCGCAACCATAGAACCTCTTTCCTGGATTTTCAGCTGTCCACGATGTCTTCACCCTAGCTGGTACACCGCAATTACAAGTTGGTGGTTCTGCCATGGAGATGAAGCTTTGCTTTTGGGTTTGGTTGAAATGAAGGAGAAGAAGAATTTTGGGAAGTATTCGTCCTTTACATTTTGGTTTTGGTCAACAGATAAGTGGTTTGGCATTTTTACCCTTGAAAAGTTGGCCACATGGTGTGCCCGTGAGATATTCCGGGCAAAAATCAGTCGGAAAAATGAAAAGGGACTTAAATTGATCCTTTTTTATTTGCTAAGGACTAAAATTGATTATTTTCGATCTAAGGGACTAAATTTTCACATTTACAATATGTGAGGGACTACTTGTGCAGTTCTCCCGAGAAATAATTAGGAGAAGATTCTTGATTTCTTGATTTTTTTTGTTGTTTTTGCTTCTTTTCCTAAAACAAACCTGCAAAAATGAGAAAAATGCACATTAAAATGCAAGAAGATAAATAACTCATTGAATAAAAAAAATTTGAGAAAACATTAAAAATTGACAAAAATTTGGTGTCTACAAGGGGCCTATTCAGGAAGAAGTTTGTTTCCAAAAGGCATGACATTTCTTTTGGTTTGTTTGAACGTTATAAATAAAGATGTTCAGATATTAAGAAAACTCACTTTTTTTACTTCTAGATTTACTGTACTTCTACTTCTTATCAAAATAATTATTCTCTAAATTGTTCTTGAGAGAATTTCTTCATACTACTGTGTGAAAATTTTGGTTGGGTTTGTTATTCTTGCAGAGAATTGTTGCAAACTCGATAGTAGAATAGTGGGCGGCAAATTTCTTTAAGAAAAGTGAATTTTTATGTTAGCCATTTTTTGTAGTTCTAGTTGAAACTTCTCTGACATAAACACAATATGAAATTTTAGCACAGTCGTTGCACAAGATCTTATTCTTCCTTCTCTAAAGTCCTATCGGATTTACCAGCTTTGTGGAGAGCAAATGCATAGTCACAAAGGCATTTATTGTGCTTGGAGTCCAAGAGACATGCAACTTTTCAAACTCCCCACTCAATTGAAGGATTTCTATGCAAATTATAATTAAACAACTCAAAATGACAATGGTAACACTTGAAAAAATTGAGAGACTGATAATAAGATGAACAATGTATAAAATTATGAAAATGAAACTAATTAGAATAATTTACCTATGGCAATAATCCTTTCCAATTTTGGCATCTTTGGTGAACATCCTCCTATCTTCCAAATTATCGGTCTCGATCACCATGTTTTTCAATCTATATTTAGCTGCATACTTTACAGTCTCCAGATCCCATACAATTGACAGGTTACTTTAATTGGCGGAGTGATCTAATATTATATATAAAGTCTTTTAATGAAAGACATTCCCTACCGAATCTCTAGCATAGCTTGCTATAATAGCTAAGGTCTATCGCACCCTATTTTTTTTTTAAAAATAAAATAAAATACGAGTATTTTGTAAAAATGAATTTTGATTTAATTTTGATTGAAAATGGATTTTGAATTTTAGAAAATAAATAAAGAAAATGGACCTAAATGAGACTAAAAAGTGGGATGATTTTGACCCAAAAAT